CCAGATTCACGAAGCAGTTACGCAAGCACTTACGAACCTGAACATCTTTTCACAAACTTTGGCGGCTCTGTTTACAATTATTAAACAGTTAATGAGCTCCGAAGCACCAGGAGGCTGTTTATAAAAATAGCAACAGTTGATTCTGAAGTTGTAATGCTTGTAAACTGTTTAATATATGTAACCAAAGCCGTCAAAGATTGAGGAAAGATGTACACGTTCGTAAGTACTTGCGTAACTGCTTCGTGAATCTGGCCCCTGGTGCAAGCGCTCCACTAACTGGCTGCCCCTCGCAACAGGCCTCTACCCTCACCCTCCACAATGAACCGTAACAATATATCACATTTTTCCCACGAATGATCCTTAAACTCAACTTTTCGGCCCAGATGGCCACGAGAAAACACTGCTGGCTGCGGGGGGAGGGGGAGAGGGGGGGGGGTGGGACAAGGCTGATAGAGAGGAGGGACAAGGCTGATAGAGAGGAGGGACAAGGTTGGTAGAGAGGAGGGACAAGGCTGATAGAGAGGAGGGACAAGGCTGATAGAGAGGAGGGACAAGGCTGATAGAGAGGAGGGACAAGGCTGGTAGAGGGGAGGGACAAGGCTGATAGAGAGGAGGGACAAGGCTGATAGAGAGGAGGGACAAGGCTGATAGAGAGGAGGGACAAGGCTGATAGAGAGGAGGGACAAGGTTGGTAGAGAGGAGGGACAAGGCTGATAGAGAGGAGGGACAAGGCTGATAGAGAGGAGGGACAAGGCTGATAGAGAGGAGGGACAAGGCTGATAGAGAGGAGGGACAAGGCTGGTAGAGAGGAGGGACAAGGCTGATAGAGAGGAGGGACAAGGCTGATAGAGAGGAGGGACAAGGCTGGTAGAGAGGAGGGACAAGGTTGGTAGAGAGGAGGGACAAGGTTGGTAGAGAGGAGGGACAAGGCTGGTAGAGGGGGGGGGTGGACATGGTAGGTAGACGGGGGGGAGGTGGACATGGCTGGTAGCAGATCATAGATCATTCCTAAGGTGTGTGTAAGACTACAGTATGACGTCACCAACCAGGGGCTACGCCAACAAGTGTAAAAGGGTGAATCAGGTAGTTAACTACACCGGAGTAACGGATCCCCAGCAGACATTTAACACAACTTGCCACGCCACACTGCTAACATCATAATAATAATAATAATAATAATAATTTTTATTTAGGTAAGGTACATACATAAAGAGATTTTACAAAGTTTGTTGGCTTTATAGATAGAGCTAGTACATACAATGCCTAAAGCCACTATTACGCAAAGCATTGTATGTACTAGCTCTACTAGTATTACCCGAGACCCACCACCTATCTAGAGGCCAGGACGGGGACAGATGCCAGCAGTTGTTCAGAGGTTCTCCCATTTTCCCGATAAATTTTCAAAGTAGATTTTGAATTGCAGAAGCTGTGGCATTGAAGGCTTCGGCGGGTAGGCGGTTCCACGGGATTATAACCCTGTGGGTGAAGAAGTATCTGGTGTTTTATGTCCTACACTGTGGCTTGTTGCGTGTGATGCTGTTGGCCCTTGTATGTGTTAAAGCTGACCTTTGGAAGACGGGGTCTGGATTACCATCAGCAAGTTCGTTCAGTATTTTGGATGAGATCAACCCTATCATGCCTGGTTTGCAGTTTTGTTAGTCCTGCGGCCCTCAAGTGTTCCTGGTATGAGTCAACTTAGTTCTGGGAAGATACCTGGTTGATGGGGTTCTGGGAGTTGTTCCACTCCCCAAGCCCGGCCCGAGGCCAGGCTTGACTTGTGAGAGTTTGGTCCACCAGGCTGTTGCTTGGAGCGGCCCTCAGGCCCACATACCCACCACAGCCCGGTTGGTCCGGCACTCCTTGGAGGAAACTATCTAGTTTTCTCTTGAAGATGTCCACGGTTGTTCCGGCAATATTTCTTATGCTCGCTGGGAGGATGTTGAACAACCGCGGACCTCTGATGTTTATACTGTGTCACTATGCCTTGTACTTTCTCTAAGAAAGATATATCCTTTTGAAGGGGAGGTGTCCATGCTTGACTGCAGTAGAGGGGGGGGGGGCTCACCAGATGTTTGTACAGGTGTTCAACCATTTTAGACACCCAGCCCACAACTCTCTAAATGACGAACTGACGACGTTTCGTCTTGTCTTCTCTCAGGTTATTGTGACTCATCGTCTGCAATAACCACTTTCTTTCCCTTGAAATTAAAGGATCGTTTGAGAATTCCCAGGGTTTGGTTGGCTTTATTTACTGCAACTCCCGCTTGTGCAACTTTCAATGACTGGTGATGTTTTACCAGTCATTACCAACTAGGCCTTTTAGGTAACTTTATTCATCACTCTGCTGTATTGTAGTGTCGATTTGATTGTTGTGATGAGCAATGTTATGCCCTGTGTGCAAGGTACATTTTCAATATTAAAAATTTGATGAAAGATGTACACGTTCGTAAGTACTTGCGTAACTGCTTCGTGAATCTGGCCCCTGATCCATAACTAGACT